GTTTAAAATTCTTGCCTATAAGACTCACTACAGATCATTTAAAAGTAATATAATTTCCAGCTTTAGAAAACAGACTATTGTCAATAGGAAAAATTAATATTTTTCCTTTATTTCTCCATTTAAAAAATTTATTGCCACATTCAATACACACAAAAACTAATGAAAGACCAAGAAACACAATTACTACACTTCCTGGTTTCTGCCTGGGAAACTGCTTCAGAACACACCTACAAGTATCCCCAGTAAAAGCCTGCTCGTTAAGAACTGCCATTCCCTTTTTTATTTCCCATCTCCCCCCTAAAATCCCTCACATAAATACCCATACCCAGTAAAAAACACAAATGTCTATAATAAAGGCTGTACAAAAAAATACAGCTTTCTTCTGGAAGACTTGAATCTTCCTATAAGTGGACCCTCAATTTTCAAAAATGAATGAAAGTTAATTTGAAGCAATATCCCCAGTTTACCAGGTATCTTAAACTACAGATATTTACATAAGGCAAAGATTATTTGATTGCTACCAAACTTCGTGGTGAATGATTCAGCAACAGTGTATAGATAATACTAGCTGCTATTCTAGAAAATTTCCTGAATCAGTTAAAAATAGACCGCACTTCAAACAATGGTGATTTTGTGGGAAGAGAGATTAAATAATTTATTTACACAATGAACAGGGATTTAGCACTTTATTTAAAACTAGCTTTAGGGTAAAGGTTTGTAGAGTTCCTACTACGTGTCAGGCACTTAATAGCTGCTTTACAGAATATGCAAGCTCCACATGCACAAATAACATCTGACATTTGTAGAATACTCTCTCATCTCATTTGGCTCTCAGAATACCCATAAGGCATAAACATGCCAGTTTTATAGTTACGGAAAGGGAGGCGCAAAAAAGTTAATTTGACCGAGGTATCACATCTGGCCTTAGGTGGGTCCTGGCTACCAGGCTCCCATGTTTTGACTCATGATCTGATTGATCATCTGCTTTACAATGCTAGTTACTCAAATGCTCCTTATGTGTTCCCATATCAGATTTTTAAAATGAATTTACTTGACGACTTTCAGTATTGTGCTTGTCAGATTCTGTTAAGAATCAAAACACACACAAAAAAGTGTTTAAAAGTCCACGGTCTCAGCATGTCGAAGTTCAAGTTTACTGGCTAAACTTGGCGAAAGCCCCCGCGTTTCCGCCGCGCTTCGGGCGCTCCCTGTCTCCTCCGCCAAAGACAGCGCCGCCCGGACTAGGGGCCCCGAGCCTCTGAGGTGAGCGTCGACCTCAGCCTGGCGTCGCCACAGCCCGCCGAGTGCACATCCCAAAGGCCGGGGTCCGCGGGACCGCACACCCGGGCGTTCCTTGGGGTGTGGAGACAGGGCGCGGGGCAGACACCTCCGCCAGCCCGGCCACCGCGCCGCCCGCGAACGGCGCCGCAGCCCCGCGCCCGGCGCCCAGCAATCGACGCCAACCGCCCTGCGTGGCGGAAGCCCCTACGGCCTCAGACTCTGCCCCGGTCGCCCCGCTCTTACCTGCCTGGGCCTGGACGCTGCCTCCAGTCGTGGCTGCGAAGTCCTCGCCCACTCCGCGGAGCTGCGGGTCCCCAGGGTCCCACTCTGGCCAGCTCCGTCCCGCCCCCGCAGGCCCGGCCGAAGGCCCCGCCCAGGCCCGGCCAAGCCGGGTTCCTACTGGCCCCTGTTCCCACCCCTCACGCTCGGCCCGCCCCCGGCCCCGCCCCGGCCGTCGCGAGGGGCGCCTCCCGGCCTCGGGTCTGCTTTCGGCCCAGAACCTTGCCCCCGCGGGACCTCTGTCACCGTGACGCTGCGGCCCCAACAGGCAGGTGACCGGCGCCACAGTGGTCCGGCTGAGGCCTCGAGCCAAAGTTCCGTCGCTGTAGCCGCGCCCGCCGTCAGACCGGCCCCGCGGCGACGGAACTGAACTTTACGAGGTGGTTGACGCTTCACCACTACTCAGCAAGGTAAAGCCTAGTTTAGTCAGGGAATCCAAGAGGCACCTCACTCGAGGAAGCCATAGATCTGTCGCCTGCCCCGGGGCTCAGTAGACCTAGGATCTCCAGTGAAACAGCAGCACCGTTTCCCTGGCTGAGCTCAAGGAGAAAACATTTCTCAGGCAATTGCGATATGGTGCCAACTTGAAATGTAAAGAGATTCAAATAACGCTTCTAGCACTTCACGCTTGGAGTCTCAGAGCAAGGGTGCCTTTATACTGCCAGCGCCTGAGGTCGGCCCCACGCCCTGGTGAGACACACAGGCATAAGCACTCCGCCTGCAACACGCTCTTGCTCGGGTATGTGCATGGCGTTGTGCCTACTGCAAGCGGTAGCCCAGTTTCACTAGGGCTGGGAGACAAGCACGAGTTGAGCCTGTTTCCTAGGCACTTGCTAGTCACCCCACCTTGCCCCGCCCCATTCCACCCGCACCCCACCCCAGCCTTTGGGTCTGGTGGCCAAACTCTTCCCACATTTGTTCACATAGAGGTACCAAAATAGAAGACTGCCAGAAAGAGAGGTGTTTGGTTACACATCACAGATGACTGCCAGAAGCCAACTTAACCAAAACAATAAAGGCAACATATCCCAAACCATTGTGAAACTGTGACTTGTAGACAATAAAACAGGAATTACATTCTAAGATGGGGGGGGAGGAGTAAAGACAAGACTTTTTTTTTTAAATCATGTTCCAATGAGGAAATAAATGTGAATATTGTTTGTAGTAAATTTTGGACACTGATTTTAATGGGTTCCCCCAACAAAAACAACAACACGCCTATCTATAATCCTAATACGCTGGGAAGCCTAAGTGGGAGGATTGCTTGCGGTCAGGAGTTTGAGACCAACCTGAGCAAGAGCAAGACCCTGTCTCTACTAAAATAAGAACAATTAACCTCTACAAAAATAGAAAAAATTAGTTGGTTGTCGTGGCACGCGCTTGTAGTCCCAGCTACTGGGGAGGCTGAGGCAGGAGAATTGCTTGAGCCCAGGAGTTTGAGGTTGCTGTGAGCTATGATGATGCCACCTCATTCTACTGGTGGGGGTCGGGGGAGGTGGCCTGAATGAGACTTTGTCTAATATGAAATAAAAAAATAAAATAAAATCCTTACCTAATGTATTTAGAAATTTATTTTTTGCATTTTGCATTCAGGATGATTATTTGGCAAAATGAGGCAGATTGAATTCTGAGAACCAAATATGAAACCAAATCTGTTATGGGCTGTGTGGATGTAATAAATAAATTCACATGTATGTATTCTACTGCCCTCTCATGGGTAACATGGAGGTATACATAATGGGAATTAATGCCCTTTTTAGTCTGAGAATAGAATGTTTAATTTAGTAACTTGTATTATTTTGATGACAAGAAGGCCAAGGTAAAATAAAATCAAGTTCTCTAAGGGACTTATAAATATTCAGCAAGCAGAACTTCAACTTCAAAAAGCGGGCAGGAAATTCTTATACCAAGGCTAGTACAAACATGCCATCAGGGTCACACCTATGCTTATGGCTACCTGTATGGAATGTGGAAACATGCAGGAATATGCTTTTAATGTTTTTCCATTTGAAACATTATTACTTTATCAGATGTTTCACAAAATTCTTTTTTATACATCTGTAGCCATGTGCCTATAGTTTCATGCTATGAGCAACTCAAGGGTTGGAATGAAATCTTATTCTTTATATCTTTGGTGTTTAGAATAGTACCTGAACAATTGTTTATTAAATAAGTTGAATGAAATATCAGCTCAGCCACTAGATGGCAACACAGTATAACCTGCCTAATTGGAATTTCTCCTGACATTAAGAAACTTTTCTAAAGAGTTACATGTATATTTTACTTTAGTAAGCAAAACCATTTAAAATGTACCACTATAGCTCAATGTAACCTTATTGTCAGTTACATCCTTAAAGCTAAGAATCTTTTGTAAGATAAATTATCCCTGAGTATAGTAAGTCATGAGTACTGATTTTCTATATTGGGGTACACCTGCTTTGTTTTTGTCTAAGAAAGCCACTATTGGCTTGCACTTTGTCAAAGGACTTTTTGCTTATTTTTTAAATTTAATTAATTAATTATTATTATTTTAGAGACAGGGGGCTCTATTGCCTAGGCTGGAGTGTGGTGGCATGATCATCACTCACTGCAGCCTCAAACTCCTGGGCTTAAGTGATCCTCCTGCCTCCAGAGTACCTAGGATTATAGGAGCAGGCCACAGCACCAGTCTCAAGGGACTTTCTAATGGTTCTATGTGCCTGAGCAAATTTTGTTCCACAAACCAAAAGCCTATATTCTTCCAACAAGCCATTTGCTTATATTTTTGCCCAACTTTAATAATTTTGTTGCCTGAAAGTCTTGGAAACTCTGCAGTCAGACAAACCTAGGTCTTCACTGCTACCCTTCACTAGATATATTCTTGTGTAGGTTATTAATCTTACTAACCTCAGTTTACCAATTTTCCCCAAAATGGAGGTAATAATATCTACTTTATAAATGTTGTGGAAGGCCGGGTGCGGTGGCTCACACCTGTAATCCTAGCACTCTAGGAGGCCCAGGTGGGTGGATTGCTTAAGGTCAGGAGTTCGAAACCAGCCTGAGCAAGAGCGAGAACCTGTCTCTACTATAAATAGAAAGAAATTAATTGGCCAGCTAACATATATATAGAAAAAATTAGCTGGGCATGGTGGTGCATGCCTGTAGTCCCAGGTATTCAGGAGGCTGAGGCAGAAGGATTCCTTGAGCCCAGGAGTTTGAGGTTGCTGTGAGCTAGGCTGACGCCACGGCACTCAGTCTAGCCTGGGTAACAAAGTGAGACTCTGTCTCAAAAAAATAAAAAAATAAAAGTAAATAAAAAATTTAAAAAAATATAAAGGTTGTGAAAAGGATTAAAGGAACTAATATCAGTGGAAGATCTAATACAATCCTTAGTTTATAGAAGGAACGCAATAACTGGAAACTATTACTCAAACTCTACAATGAAAACCTCACACATGGTATTATTTGGTTTATTTATTTTATTCTGTTGATTTAAGACCCTCAGCAATTAAATTGAGTTCATAACACCAGGTTTCATAGCGATAGGCCATGCGAATTTGGGCTACATTTGTCCTCCGGATATCATTTCCAGCAGGGCCTTCTTCAAGGTAATGGTCACCCAGAAACTTTGCTTTCTCCTATAAGAGAAAAGGAAGTAGAATGATTGTTGTCTCTTTTCACCCTGGTATAGACAATAATTGCATTCTCCACAAAAATTCTTTCCTTATGTTAGCCACTGGCAAAAGAAAAAAGAAAAAATCCATTCAAAGCAGTCATCTAGTGCCTCACTGTTCATCGTCTGGTGAGAAATCAAGTGTATTTTATTTCCCTTATTCAAAGGATATAGCTAGAGAGACAGAATACTCCTATTCCCTGTCTATGGTAACTGCATATGATTTGTGGTGCAACTTTTCTATGTGTGTTTCCCTAATTTTTCAATATTCAAGTTACCAGATCCTATACTCCAAAGGGCAACTCAAGGACAGGTCTACCTCATGAGAAATTCCACACTGCAAAACACTGTTTCTTGCTACTTCACACATATCACAGGTGCTTAGCTTGAAGACTTGCGCAGCGATGGCATATTCTTCCATCAGGGGCTCCTGCAGTTATTTATTTAAATGAGGCAAAAAAGAGGAATGCGTTAATAAAAGAAACAACATGCATCCTGCACAAAAAGTATAGTAAAATACCTCGATTTGGCTTTCAAATTCTAGGTAGAAACAACAGTCCAGCAAAATATATTTGGATCACCCAAGATTCCATATGTATACCTTGGTGAAGTGGAATTGCATCGGGTCATCTGTAGACAGTGAGATCATTAGTCCTTTCTGGAGAAAATCTAAAAAAGGATTTTTGGCATACTCTAGAAATAGGCTGTTGTTACTTAATGGTGACATGGCAATGGGAATCTGGGCTAAGAAAAACAAGTACTGTAACACAGGAGTCTGAAAAGGAAAAGTGAAAAAAATATGTAAGGATTTTGAAAAAGGGATACAAACATTAAAATAAAACATTTAAAAAAAGGGATAGAAACATTAAAATCTCATGGTCTACCTTAAGCTTTAGCTTTCAACAAAATTATCACCTGTTCTTTAAATCCCCTAATGAAGAATTACAGTTTTTCAGTGTAAATATGTAAATACTATTTAGAGTAAATGTATTTAGGATCATCAATTTTCACAAACGTAGAATCAAACAAACTTGTTTGACCTTTAATTGCCAAATTTAGATGGTCTGTTTCAGCAAAAAATTTCACCTTGAAACATTCTTTTTGCTACAAAAAAGTCCTGACTCTCACAAGAGACATTTGAAAGCATGCTAGAATAAAAAATCTGGCAAAAACTAGCTTAAGGTAAGCCAAACCATCTCTGAATTATTCCTTATTGGAATTCTAAACTGAAAGCTAGGAGATCTGCATTAACTGATCTCTGCCAGCAACTAGCCAGGTAATCTTGAGCAAATCCCTTTACTTCTCTCTGTAAAATGAACTGCACTAAATAATCCTAAAAATCTTTTATGCTCTACTTGAATTTGATTCCAGTGTTGATAATGACTTGAAACAGTATGGTAAGGAAAAAAAAGAAAAGATTCATCTAGTTCCAATATAAAAGTTAATAAGAAGAGTGCAAAAAAAAAAAAAGAGCACCTCCAACTTACCTTTTTTAAATTCAGGCCATGAGAGATATTATCTGCTATCATGAATGCTGTCATGAGATGAGTGAGAGCTCCAGCTTCCCCACAGTGAGGTCGGAACAGAAAGGTATTCATGCCTCGTTCCCTAAGGAAATGGAACTACTATAGAAATTGCAGGTTCTGGGCACAGAGTGATTTATAAGAAAATTCAGTAGAAAAATTAACACTCTGGAAGAGAACAAGTCATCCAAAGGATTCAGCAAAACTGACAATTCCAAATAATAATCTTAATTTTTCCTAAATATAAAGTTTTTAAAAACAGGCAGCAGAGGATATGGGGGTAAGGGGACAAAGCAGCCAGGAGATGATTACCTGAACAGAAACATCTTCAGTCTCAACAGGGACTTTACCAGTATCATCACCTCATTATTAATATTTCTCCTATTCATATTTTAAGAGGTAAATGTTTCCAGAAAACCCCATTATAATATTTCTCTATTTATTCCTTACACAGATCTATCAAGAAAAGTAAACTGTATGAAGTTTTATAGTAAATGGCACAGTGATTAGTATAAATTCCTAACTTCAAAAAAAATTTTTGAAATTTACTGAAGGCACCAAAATGTCGATTCTTGCCCCTAAATTAATAAACTGGAGAAAAAGTTAAGAGAAAGACATTCCTGATTTTGGCCAATTGGAAGCACCCCAGGGATGCACCGGGACCTTTGACCACATAGAGTGCTAAATGTGTGAGGAAAGAGCTGTGTCATGTGGGCTCTCCTTCTAGCTCCAGTTCTCTTCTACTTACTTTCTCAGGCTGTTGAGCACCGTGATATTTGCATACATGTAGTAGGCATAATAAGTGTAAGATGGATTCTTTTCCATTGTCCACTCCTGAGGTTTGGGACTCTTGGAGGAGAACATGTGGCCACTGTGTTTGGATTCATCATCCACACTGTCAAAGCCAGTGATCTGTCAGGAAGAGTGAGCCATGCAATGGGTCCTCCAAAGGCAAGGACCAAGTGTAAAGAGATAAACACCATGAATAAGTTATGGCCAGGTAGGAAAGCAGATTCATGAGCAGCAGTATTAAGGCCTGCAGAGTCATGCTTACATGCTTGAGGAAGACACTGAGGTCAGGATGAGCCTGGGGGTTGACGGTGGCCTCAAACACTGGCATGAAAACATTCTCTAGCATCTTTCCGAAGTGTGGAAGGAAATTCTTGGATCGGAACACATCACTAAAGACAAAAATTAAGAGAATTTAGGAAGAACGGAAGATTTTTAAGACTGAAAGCCCCAGTATGAGGGAATCAGAGGACTCACTGCCATGTACAGGCTGAGACCTGGTATAACCATCCTAGGTCTGCTCTCATACACTCTTCTTGGCTACCCATAAAGAGAGATTCAGTTTGGGAAGTATAAATTTCTTGATGGACCACATACCAAATCTCCTCTACAACCCTCTGTGGTAAGAAAACTAAACCTTCACAGGTAGGTCCAGATAGAAAATATAGCAGTTATGTTATAAAAGGTTTAATGATTTATATATGTGTGTGGTATGCAAGATAGTGAGCATAAAATGGACTCTGATATTCTGTAGCTGGGGCAATTTAACAAACTCTTACATAGCACTTAGTATATGCCAACCACTCTTCTAAGTGGCCAAAAATATTAGCTGATTTAATCATTATAACAACTCATTAAGCTAGCTGTTTTTTACCCCATTTTAGAGATGATGAAACTAAGGCATAGAGAGGTGATATCATTTGCCCAAGGTCACACAGCTAATAAGTGGTACAACCAGAATTCAGGCATTGCTGGTCTGGGTCCACAGTCCATACTCCTAACCACCATACTCTGCTACCTCTTTGCCTTAATGTTATTACACAGGAAATATTCCTAACAAAAACGCACTCTTTTGGCTCAGAAAAACAGTATAAAACTCTTGCATTGCCACAGGGCACACAGAACACAGGGGCAGGTGGCAGATAATATAGAAACACTTAAGTTAGATAAAAGGTCAATGATACTGAACACATCAAAAGAGAAGCCATCCCTGAAGGCAATGAATGATAGCAATTGGTATGAAAAGGATAAGACTTCCTCAGCATTGTGATTGATAAGTACTCATGGATTATGGACAACTTGAGCACTTACAGGTGAGATAATCAGCAGACAGTAGTAAAGGTTCTGATACAAGAAAGCTATATCCCAGTATAGATGAGCATGGGAAAGAATGAACCTGACACAGAGAAGAAGACCAGGAGAAAGAAAACATATTCTAAAATGTCTATAGTTTTTATTCTAGCCTACTTTTAATCATTCTCAGTAAGCTGTGATCTTCACAAAGCCCTGTGTTTTAAAATAGAAAGCAAAATACCTTCTCTGGTTAGAGACTGAATTGAAATGATCTTCCTAACTCCTGTCTGTGGTCAAGAGCGCTGTAGTCAGGGTTGGCAAAACCAAGCACACATGACATGTTACCGAGCATGTTTATGCAGGGGAAGTGAGGCAGGTGAGACAAGAGCAGGCTTTAGGGTCTTTGATGGCCAGGTACCTACTAGATTCTGGGGACCTGGATCATCCATGTCATGTTGGGGCAATGGATGCGGTTGCGGACAAACCAGGAGGCGAGTTTGCTCCACTCATCAGGACTGCGGCCATAGATGGACAGGCGGGGCTCAGCGTGCTGGTACTTGGCCTCCACCAGGTCTGCACCTACCTCCTGCAAAGCCAAGAGTGGAGTCTAAGCCAGGAATTCCCACAAGTCCCTCCTGGGTCTAAACCTGAGGGATCTAGGGAGAGGAGATGGGTACTAAGAAGAACTGAGGAAACGTCAAAGGAAGTAGAAGGAAAATATCAAAGGTTAAGATCCAAGGGAACTGGGAGTTGACGAGAATCTGGTGGGCATAAAAGATTGAACGTAATAGAGACTAGAGAGTGAAAAAATCAGGCTAAAGGTGATGAGGATGATGATATTCAAGGCTCCTGCAAAAGAAATTCAGCTTTTCATAGTCTGCTTACCTCCCCAACACAAATCTCCCAAGTCCATATACTATTCCTGCTTCCTAATGCAGAAGCGCCATGAAGATGAGAGTGGATTCCTAATCTAACTCTGCCTGAATTTACAACTCCCAAAGCCTGAAAAAGCCCAGTCCTTAATCCCCAAACCATAACCTTAATTTCTCTACTCTAGGAAAAGAAGTCTTTAAAAAGCACTACAGTGGACATTTCAAAACAAATTCTTATATTTATTTGCATAGTGTTTGGCCCCCGAGATAGCACTCTTCCTTCCTTCCTTCCTTCCTTCCTTCCTTCCTTCCTTCCTTCCTTCCTCCCTCCCTCCCTCCCTCCCTCCCTCCCTTCCTTCCTTCCTTCCTTCCTTCCTTCCTTCCTTCCTTCCTTCCTTCCTTCCTTCCTTCCTTCCCTCCCTCCCCTTCTCTCCCTCTTTTCCCCTCCTTTCTTTTCCTCTCTTCCCTTCCTTCCTACCTTTTCTTCTTTCCTTCTCTTCCTCCCTCTCCTCAAGAACCATGCCAAGTACCGTAAATCTGCTTGGTTCATTCTTACCTTGATGATAGTGGCAAAGTATTCCCCATTAATGTAATTGTCTGTCTTTAAGTAGAGGTCCCGTAGCTCACTCGCGCCTACAGGATTGTATTTGTCATTGAATTTATCAAAACGCTGGAAGGTCTGGCGTCCCTGAATCAGGAAGAAGGAGCAAAAATGTAATATTATCAGAGCTGCCTGGACACAGAGAGGTAGGGAACACTCAAGTGGAACAGGGGCCTGATAACAGGGGAAGGGATTGGGCTCCCAGAATAGAATCTGGGGCAATTGACAATGAGTGAACGTCAAAATTGTCTGTGGTACTTTCAGACAGCATGGTAAGCCCGGATGTTTAAGAGGACTCTGAGAAAGGAGGGCTTATAGAAGAAAGACACGTGAGATTCTGAGAATTAGAGTGAAACTGACACTGTCTTTTCAACCTACAGCATGAACATCCAGAGAATCAACAGTCAGGTCATAGGGATGCATTTTTAATTTAGTAAAAAGTTCCTTTAAGGTCAAATTCTTCTCTGTGGTGCTATATACCACTCTGTCAGCATCAACTTGGTAAGATTTCTTAATAAAACGCAGTAGATGTTTCTGGTTCATGCAAGCAGCTGCGTGGATATGGGTGTCCACCTGTGTGTACATTCAGAGAAAGAAAAACCATCAATCAGCCTTAGTTAAGCTACTCTGTTAGAGGTTATGGTGCTTGCAAATCCCACCGTGTTTGGACAAACAAGTAAATAATGGGGATGTGTACTGACAGCTGGTGGAGTGGCCCAGCAATAAAGAACCTATTAGGATTTTTATGTGCTCATGCAAGGATGTGAAAGTTTAGGCTAGATGCAATAATTATGATTGTTTCTCTTATATATCTGTAAATCCAATTTACTTCCTACATTTGATCCATACAAATTTTTATTAGTTTTAATTTAATTAATTACTTTTTTTTGAGACTGGGTCTTACTATGTTGCCCAGGCTGGTCTCAAACTCCAGTGAGCCTCCCACCTTAGCCTCCCAAGTAGCTGGATTACAAGTGTGTACCACAGTACCCACAAGATTTTTTTTTCTGGAGACAGAGTCTCACTTTGTTGCCCAGGCTAGAGTGAGTGCCGTGGCATCAGCTTAGCTCACAGCAACCTCAAACTCCTGGCTCAAGCAATCCTACTGCCTCAGCCTCCCAAGTTCCTGGGACTACAGGCATGCGGCACCATGCCTGGCTAATTCTTTTCTATATATATTAGTTGGCCAATTAATTTCTTTCTATTTATAGTAGAGACGGGGTCTCGCTCTTGCTCAGGCTGGTTTCGAACTCCTAACCTTGAGCAATCTGCCCACCTCAGCCTCCCAGAGTGCTAGGATTATAAGCGTGAGACACCATGCCTGGCCTCCACTAGATTATTTAGGACCATTCTTCACCCCTTAAACACAACTGCAAGTGAAGTAGCTGCCACAGCTTTCAGCCCCAAAGCAGAAAAGATAGAAATTATAAAGTCATGGCAGAGTGATGGCATTTATGAGGTAAATATTTTTATAATTACAATTTTACACACTGAAGTTTTTTTTTTTTTTTTTTTTTTGAGACAGAGTCTCACTTTGTTGCCCAGGCTAGAGTGAGTGCCGTGGCGTCAGCCTAGCTCACAGCAACTTCAATCTTTTGGGCTCAAGCGATCCTGCTGCCTCAGCCTCTCGAGTAGCTGGGACTACAGGCATGCGCCACCATGCCCGGCTCATTTTTTTCTATATATATTTTTAGTTGGTCAATTAATTTCTTTCTATTTTTGGTAGAGACGGGGTCTCGCTCAGGCTGGTTTTGAACTTCTGACCTTGAGCAATCCGCCTGCCTCGGCCTCCCAAAGTGCTAGGATTACAGGCGTGAGCCACCGCGCCCGGCCCACACTGAAGTTTTGACAGATTAATTTGTCCAAGGTTATATAGGCAGCTGAGCCAGGATTTGGGCCTGAATCTCTGTTCATGTATTTCCTATTCCCACTTCCTTGCAATTATTTAAATGGTCAGAGCATATCTTGGGAGTGTTTCTAATTGCTTGGATTTCATAATCACTAATTTATTTGGTATTCACAATCCTCATGTGAACTGGGTTGATCAGATAGATTTCCCAATTTTACAAATGAGGATACTGAAGCTTGAAAATATTTAATCACTTCCCCCAAAGTTTTACAGTCAGGAAGTAGAAGAAAAAGGACTAGAAGGTAGTTCTTCCAAATCCTAGAATAACATTTTTGGATGTTTTATTCATTTTTGTTATTTTTATTGTTGATGATAATTATGATTTTTTTTATGCCAAGAATATGACAAATCTTTCCATGGGGAAAACAACAGAAATGGCATTTAACGCTTTAGATATAATCTATCTGTTTTCACTAAAATCCACTGTACCTGCAGAAATCTTAGATTAATCAGAAAAATAGTGTTTTTCTTGTCCTTCTCAAGAAATAATAGATTAATGTTTTTGTCCCGGAACTACCTCTAAGTAGCTAAAACAGTTACCTTCCTGCAGTTATAAAAATCTCGGTGAGGGTTGTTTTTCAGCTCCTTTAACTCATCCATCTCGTTGAGCATCTGATGGACCTGGAACTTGGAGGAGAGGAACTTCAGGCGCCGGTGGGCATAGGTCTTACTGTGAAGAATAAACTTATATAATTTCAAAAAATTGTAGACATTTAAGAAAAACAATCACAATTTCAAAACTATCAAGACCCTTATCACTCATAGGAAATGATTACTGGGACAAAACTTTCTGTTTATTCTGCAGTTAATCTCACTGAAAAGTATTGGGTGTGGCCGGGCATGGTGGCTCACGCCTGTAATCCTAGCACTCTGGGAGGCCAAGGCGGGCGGATTGCTCCAGGTCAGGAGTTCAAAACCAGCCTGAGCAAGAGCGAGACCCCATCTCTACTATAAGTAGAAAGAAATTAATTGGCTAACTAATATATATAGAAAAAATTAGCCGGGCATGGTGGCACATGCCTGTAGTCCCAGCTACTCGGGAGGCTGAGGCAGCAGGATCGCTTGAGCCCAGGAGTTTGAGGTTGCTGTGAGCTAGGCTGATGCCACAGCACTCACTCTAGCTAGGGCAACAAAGTGAGACTCTGTTAAAAAAAAAAAAAAAATTTAAAAAAAAAAAGTATTGGGTCCCAGCTTTTTGTAAGAGTTGGATATAATAATGAGGGAGGACTTAAAAAGGTATCTTAAAAGTCAGTGGAGAGTGTCATTCAAAGCTAAGGGCTCTGGCTTTGGAGCCAGTAGATTTAAGGAGCTCAAATCCTGGCTTAGCCAGCTGTGTCACTTTGGGCAATTTACTTAACTTATCAAAGTCTCAACTCATAAAACTGAAATTATAAAAATAACAACCTCATAGAACAACTGTGAGGAGTAAAAGAAATAATGTACATGAAGGTTTTAACATAGTGTTTGAATATAGTAAACATTTAATAAATACTTGTTGTTACTATTATTATTATTATTATTATTATTAGTTGTTGTTGTTGTTTAGGTCTCACTAAACACTTACACAGGTCCTTGGGCAATTAAAGCCAGTAAAAAATTCATGTCATCCAAGAAGGTGTCCAAATTTGGGTAAGGAAGTGGCTTAGGCTCGTCTTTGCTGGCTGCTGCTTCATTAGGATAGATGTAAATGACACCATCTTTCATTTTGAGGAGATAGCCCAGGTTTTCAGGAAGGTCATCTGTTCGGAAAGGGTCTTCTCCCTTCTTCACAGGGGGAGTAAAGACTTTTTCAAAAAAACACAGAGTAATATATTAGCACACAGTAATATATTAGCACATGACCACATAAAAATAGCCAAAATATGAAATACTATAAAATCTCATTAGTTTGGAATCCTGTCCTTCATAAGTTGTCATTATCCAGAATTAATAATTGCATTATTTTTGAAAGGTGACTAAATTAATAGTATAAAATGACTATACAAATAATATTTTATCTAGTGAAAGAATGATTTTCAAGTTCTTTAGAAGGACTGCATACATAAAGTAATTGATATACTACTTACAAATACTTTAAATTATTTACTGAAGTTGATCATCAAAGCCTTTGTTTAGAGTATTTTATTAGCCTATTAGATGAATATTTAGAGCATTTTATTGGCCTATTGCATAAAAATAAAAGTCAAACTGTAGTTAAAAGACAGTTTGGACCTTTACCTTACATAAATCAACCTTTTTTCATTAGCCTTAGAGTGTTTTTAAAGTAGATTTTCAAGGAGCAGGTTAACAGCAAAATTGAGTGAAAAGTTTCTAGATACCTCCAGCACCACAAATGCATAGCCAACCCCTACTATCAACATCCTGTATCAGAGTGCATTGATTTCTTATAATCTATATTGATACATCATAATCAACCAAAGCCCCTAGTTTACATTAGCTTCACTTTTTTTTTTTTTTTTTGAGACAGAGTCTCACTTTGTTGCCCAGGCTAGCGTGAGTGCCATGGCATTAGCCTAGCTCACAGCAACCTCAATCTCCTGGGCTCAAGCAATCCTGCTGCCTCAGCCTCCCAAGTTCCTGGGACTACAGGCATGCGCCACCATGCCCGGTTAATTTTTTCTATATATATTAGTTGGCCAATTAATTTTCTATTTATAGTAGAGATGGGGTCTCGCTCTTGCTCAGGCTGGTTTTGAACTCCTGACCTAGAGCAATCTGCCCGCCTGGGCCTCCCAGAGTGCTAGGATTATAGGCGTGAGCCACCGCGCCTGGCCTAGCTTCACTCTTGATGTTGTGCAAACCTATGGGTTTTGACAAATGTGTAATGACATGTATCCACCATTATGGTATCATACAGAATAGTTCCAGTCCTCTAAAAATCCTCTATGCTGCACCTAATGTAATTTTTAGTGTAAAGGGAGAAATAAAATAAATTCTTATAATAAGAATCACAATTCTTATGTTAATTATGTTTCCAACCTTTCAAAGCACATACAATTTCTGCTAAAGAAATTGAGAAGGGATTAAGTGGATAAGTGTTCCCTTCTTTCCACTGTTAACAGCCTAAGAAAGTCATGAACATATTCCAAATGGTCAGAGCCTTTAAGCACTCATTTATTTACTTTCGACTCGTAAGGTCATTCATGCCTCTTCACTGCTGTGCCCAAGGAAGGCATCAGAAAGTCTCCTGTTTGCAAGTGATGCCTGAAGTAGCCAGAGTGAGAAAAATAACAGTAAAAAATTTGCACATTTCCTGTTCAAAACTGGCATATAAGGAGCATAAAAGAAGTAAAACAACATGTTGCTACATCAAACATCAATTTTCAAATCCTTAAACATATTAGAGAGATAAAGTCTAACTTACAGGAAATAAAAGGAAGACAAACATCCAATAAATGTCAATATTATAGAGGATAGGTAAACCAATATGAGTTATGAAACCAGAGACATGTTTAATATGATTTTTATATTAAAATAAATTACAGAGAGGAGATTGTAGAACTGGAAATCTTTAATAATATGACAATTTGGAAGTTTAAAAATCTTAAATATTTGCCTTCCTAGAAGTTTCAGTTCCTGGAGTATAATAAGAAAGATGTAAGACAATTGCACAAAGATGTGATATAAAGGTGTTTATTGTAGCCTTGTTGGAAACAAGCTTTAAAAAGTCAGAAATCCAAATGCCTAAAACAGCAACTGATTAAATCAATTTTGATACAGTTATATGATAGCAATGTGTGAAATTATTAAAATCTGATTATTAAAAATATACATTTAACTTTTTATGAGGCAGAAAATAAAAACTGAGATAAGCAAGTAAAGTTCTATGGAAAGTCAAAACATGTAATTTACTTTTATCCAGAGGTCAGAAGGCAAGAAATGATAGCATTTGGACTGCATCTTTAAGGATTAGGTCAGATCTGGAGATTTGGCTATGCTGTGAATATGGAAGGGGAAGTGTAGTTTAGGCATAGGGAACAGAATAGCAATAGGACAGGAGCAGAAAAGTATCAAGCTATATGGAGAACAGGAAACACTTCCAACCAGAACAGAAAGTATAAAAGGTGGAGTAGAGGAGGTAAGTTTAGAAATAAATTGAGTGCACAAGTCCAAAAATGAACAAATACATAAAATGTATTAATAGTCAGGAGGCCAGATGGTGGTAGCCCTTGAATGCCAAGCTAAAGACTGGACTTTACCTTGTAGGTAACAGGGAGTAGCTAAAGGTTTTTGTCAGGAGAAGGATGTGCTCAGTTCTGTGTTTTAATAACTGGCACCAAAGTGAAGACGAACTGAAAGAGGATGAAATTGAAACGTAGCAGAATAGTTAGGAAGCTATTGCAATAATCTGGGCAAGAAGAAATATAAGCCTAAATTAGATTTTGCAGAATGGTGAAGAAAGAGCAGGTTCAGCCGGGCGCGGTGGCTCACGCCTGTAATCCTAGCTCTCTGGGAGGCCGAGGCGGGCGGATTGCTCGAGGTCGGGAGTTCGAAACCAGCCTGAGCAAGAGTGAGACCCCATCTCTACTATAAATAGAAAGAAACTAATTGGCCAACTAATATATATATAGAAAAAATTAGCCGGGCATGGTGGCTCGTGCCTGTAGTCCCAGCTACTTGGGAGGCTGAGACAGAAGGATCGCTTGAGCCCAGGAGTTTGAGGTTGCTGTGAGCTAGGCTGACGCCACGGCACTCACTCTAGCCTAGGCAACAAAGCGAGACTCTGTCTCAAAAAAAAAAAAGAGCAGGTTCAGCAGGATTTTGTGCAGACTGAATCAAGAGATTGCATGTTGGCAGGGGGGATGAAGCCAAAGATGACTGTGATATTTTTAGACTGGATTACTTACAATCTAGGGGCACATTTTAAATTTGATATTTAGCAGTTAAACTGAAAGATATATTCCATACATTATGTAAGAGAATTAGTTACCTGGATAGAAGTTCTCATTTGTTACCCAAGCCTCCCCGTCAATGTTCCGCAAGTACTTGGATGGGGTTTTTGGGAATCTCTGAAACGACAACTTCATGTATTTCTCCCGTATACATAGTGCCCGATACAGACCTTTGCAAACCATTTCAAAATCTTCAATTGTAACCTGCCAGAAAAATGTCAGAGCATCCGAGTGAATCCCATGAAGATCTGAGAGGTGGGTAAAGCTTAACCCTGGCACTTCCCAGCTCACCTGTGTGGGGCAGCCCAGGCTGAGCCTCACCTGCCCACCTGGCTGCTTCTTCGTTGACTTGGGCCCTGGTCTCCGTCCAGGAACGGGTCCTGAAACCTTTCTAGCTTTTTCATCTCTACCCAAACTTACCTGTCCTGTGAGTGAGTTTCCCTTGTACTCTTTTTTTTTTGAGACAGAGTCTCGCTTTGTTGCCCAGGCTAGAGTGAGTGCCGTGGCGTCAGCCTAGCTCACAGCAACCTCAAACTCCTGGGCTCAAGCGATCCTCCTGCCTCAGCCTCCCAAGTAGCTGGGACTACAGGCATGCACCACCATGCCCGGCTAATTTTTTGTATATATACTTTTAGTTGGTCAATTAATTTCTTTCTATTTTAGTAGAGAACGGGTCTCGCTCAGGCTGGTTTCGATCCCGACCCTGAGCAATCCGCCCCACCTCCGGCCTCCAGCAGTGCCAGGATTAGCAGCGTGAGGCCACCGCGCCCAGCCTCCCTTGTACTCTTGTATTTGTTTTTTGTTGTTGTTGTTTGTTTTTGCTACATAGCAGTGATTATCTAGCAAATGTGATTAAAAAGACCCATTCTAACATGGTATATGCTCTCTTCTTTCCAAGTAACATGGACATTGTAAGTACAAGACAATAGCTTAACTGAAAGACAATGTGACTCTAATCATGAGAATTCAAACCACTTGTTGGTGAGTGAGGGAAATATTTTGGGATGAAGAAGGTGTCACAAATTCCTCAACCCTACCATGCACGCACTGCTTTCTGTGCCTATAGATGGATCAGAACATCATCCTGTGAGAAGTAATTCTTTTAGATGGTTTTAGGGAGAATTTTATCTGTGGCTAAAAATGGAGAGATTCTAGAGTAAAGCTTTATTAGAGTCACTGGAAATTTCCCAAACTGGTCTGTTTTCCCTGTCCCCTATCCCCAATTCCTGGCTGGGCCAGGCATGGCCAAGCAGTTATAACTTGAAATTATTGGATGTTCATTATCAGAGCCCAAAGACTTTCTCTCTGGGACCAATGTAAGCTTGTTCCCAGTGGTTTGAGGTTCAGATATTGATTGTAATCTGTTTAATATTTTTTTGAGACAGGGTCTCACTCTGTTGCCTAGGCTAGAGTGCCATGGCATCATCATAGCTCACTGCAACCTCAAACTCCTGGGCTCAAGCAACTCTCCTGCCTCAGCCTCCTGAGTAGCTGGGACTACAGGTGTGTACCACCATGGCCGGCTAATTTTTCTATTTTTTGTAGAGACAGGGGTCTCACTCTTGCTGAGACTGATCTCAAGCTCATGACCTCAAGTGATCCACCTCGGCCTCCCAAAGTGCTAGGATTACAGGCATGAGCCACCACACCCAGCGTAACTATTTTTAAAACCTGCTGACCTTGGCCAAAAGAGTCTGGCACAGGTGCTAAGTCTGGGGGTCTGCTCCCAGTGGGATGCTTCTTTCATTGTTTCATTGACACCTGATAGGCCACTGGTGTAGCAGGTTCTCAAGGACAAGAGCTGGGTCTTATTCACCTGCATATCCTCAACACTTAGCATGCAATGCCTGGCACAAAATAGGTGCTGAATAATGACTGATTAAATTGAATCAGTTGTTTATCAGGGATCAATGGTCTTGGGAATTTATACTTGATTTCCCCTTTACCTCTTAAATCACAAGGATGAAGACCAATTTGGGTACAGACTACAACCAGATGAAATGTTGCTCAGCAACAAACTCAGTTTTTTGAAGACTCCAGGTCAGGGTTTCAGGTGTTCTCCAGGTGTACCTTTTCCTTCCTCCCCTCTTCTTTCTTTTTATTCTTGTTTTCATTTCTACCAACCATGTAGGTATCAAGTGTGTCTCTTAATATTTATGTTATTTTGAATTCTGGAGTTCTCTAAACTGTATTTCCCATGTACTTATTACTCTTAAACATTGCATTTCAGTTATTTAGTACATAAAACCCCTGCCATTTGCAGAGCACTCATGTTTTCAGAAAATGAATAAACAAGAATGATGTGCATTTAATTGCTTTGTCACTTTTAAGTTTATTGGGACTGACCCTAAGTGGGTCAGTTACATGAGAAGGGGGCTCAGCATTGGTCATTAAAACTATATTTGGAGCATAGACTAATAGCTGAAGAGCAGTTTCACCAATATGATGCTGATTCTGCAAGTCCATGTGGCAGAGATTTATTAATTGACCAACTGTTCTGGATGAGACAAGCAGGTCAGGTTGTTTGTGACATGAGTTTACTGTCTCCGTAGCATACTAGAGTCTGTTCCAAGTAATAATTTACTGTGTAAGCATCTGCTGTGAAATTGGAGAGGTCAGTTTATCAAAAAACAATGGCCTCATTAGAATTTTCTAATCTTTCCCTCAACCTATTTATTTTCTCTGGTCTCTCCTTTCTTTTTTCTTTTCTTTCTTTCTTTTTTTTTTTTTTTTTTTTTGTGACAGAGTCTCACTCTGTCACCCTGGGTAGAGAGCAGTGGCGTCATCATAACTCACTACAACCTCAAACTCCTGGGCTCAAGCAACCTTCCTGACTCAGCCTCCCCTCCACAATGCCCAGCTAATTTTTTCTATTTTT